TGCCCATGTTAGGGCCCAGGACCCTCAGGACAGCACTCTGCCCTGTGTCCTGCTCAGCACTGCTCACATTAGGATCTGGGACCCTCAGGACAGCACTCTGCCCTGTGCCCTGCTCAGCACTGCCCATGTTAGGGCCCAGGACCCTCAGGACAGCACTCTGCCCTGTGCCCTGCTCAGCACTGCCCATGTTAGGGCCCGGGACCCTCAGGACAGCACTCTGCCCTGTGCCCTCCTTCATGGAGAAACTGGAGACTCTTGTAACCCTGGCTGCCTGGAATGGGATATGTGGATCAGGCCTCCTGAACTGGCCATATGGACCAGGCTGTTGGAACTCACAGGGATCCTCCTGCTTCTGCTTCCCAAGGGCTGGGATTAAAGACCTGTGGCACCAAGCTCTGACGGAGATGATTTTTTTTTTTTTTTGAGAGAGAGAGAGAGAGAGAATCTGTTTGTATCCCAGATTAGCCTCAAACTACTGGTTCTCCCGCCTCCACTACCTTCCCAGGGCTAGGATTATAGGCATGTACCACTACATCTAGACTGGGACTCTGTGTGTGTGTGTGTGTGTGTGTACCTACATGTATTCAGTTGTACAGCAGTTAGAGATAGAGCCACTGGTTTCTTCTATCTCTATCTTACTGGCTTTTAAATTTTCTCCTCCTCCTCTTCCTCCCTTCTCTTCCTCTTCTTCCCTCCTCCTCTTCTTCTTCCTCCTCCATCCTCCTGCTCCTCCTCGAGTGCATGGGTGCTTTGCCTGTGTGCCGTGTGTGTGCCGTGTGTGTGTGTGTGTGTGTGTGTGTGTGTCTGTGTATCATGTGCATGCCTGGTGGATTCGCAGATGGTTGTGAGCTGTCATGCGGGTGCTGGAAATAGAATCCATGTCCTCTGCAAGAACAGCCAATGCGCTTAACTGCTGAGCCATCTCTCAGTTCCTACCTTCTTGTTTGATGAGATTTCTCACGGAACCTGGAGCTGATTGATCTGGCAAGACTGGCTGGGCCAGCAAGCCCTCAGGATCTCAGGATCTTCCTGTCTCTCTCACCTAGCAATAAGTTTACAAGTGGACTCCACCGTGCCCAGCTTAGGTGGGTACCTGGCATCCAGACTCAGATCCTTATGCTTGAACAGACAGCACCTCATCCATTGAGCTGCATTCCCACCCCCCGCATGACCTATCAACTGTAAAAACTTACACTCTCTTGCTGAAGAATTGCTAATGGAGTCAGAGGGCAGGAAGGAGCAAGAATATATTGCGCAGTCAGATGCGGTGGTACAGGTCTGTCATCTCAGCACTTGGGAAGCAGAGGCAGGAGGGTCACAAGTTCTACACCAGCCAGAGCAACACACCGAGGCCATGTCTCTCCCTACACTCTCTCTATATATGCACATACATTCCATACCCACAAGTTACCACAAGCCTGCCTCCTAGTACACTGCAGAGACTTAGGCTTCCCCAGAATGGTGTTGGATAAGGCCTCACATCTGTCTCACAGGTTTCTCACCACTTGTGGGAAGCAGCCTAGGCACAACAAGTAGGCCCTGCACAGACAGACCCTTGCTGGTGCAGCTGCATAGTGGTACTGCCCCTCTGGCTGGTGCAGCTGCAGGGGGTGGGTGCTGCCCCTCAGGCAAGGCCTCATAGCTCCAATGGATTCCCATAACCGAACTCACAGAGGATTACTGTGAGGCTGGAAAGTTGAGGTATGAAGGAAGCTACACTTCAGTCAACACTTGTTTGCTCCCGCTGGGGGTTAGTTAGCCCAGTGGTGAGCACCTGCCTAGCATGTGTATGGCCCTGGCTCCATCTCAACTCTGCAAACACAAGTAAATATGGGCAGTTATATTAGCCCAGAACTTTGAAATGCCCAAGGCGCAACTCACAGGCCACATGAAGCTCATAAAGAAGGAAGACCAAGTGGGGGTGATTCGGTCCTTCTTAGAAGGAGCAACAAAATACTCAAGGGAGCAAATATGGAGACAAAGTGAGGGACAGAAACTGAAGGAGGGGCCATCTGAAGACCATTCCACCTGAGTATCCATCCCATGTGCAGTCACCAAAGGTAGATGCTGATGTGGAAGTCAGGAAGTGCATGCTGATAAGAGCCTGATATGGATGTCTCCTCAGAGGTCTTCAAGAGTCTGACATACTCAGAGGCAGATGCTCACAACTAGCCATTGAACTGATAATGGGGTTCTCAATGGAGGAGTTAGAGTGAAGACTGAAGGAGCTGAAAGGGTTTATGGCCCCATGAGGAGAGCAACAATACCAACCAACCACAGCTCCCAGGGTCTAAACCACCAGCCTGGGAGCACTTAGGGAGGGATCCAGGGCTTCAGCTGAATACGTGTAAGAGCGGAGGGCCCTGCTGGGCATAGGTGGAAGAAGAGATCCTTGACCTCATGAAGGCTGGATGCCCCAGGGGGTGGGAATTTTGAGGGTGGGGAGGTGGGAGTGGGGGGGTAGGTAGGGGTTACATCCACAGAGAAGAAGGAGGAGGGGAGAGGGGATAGGGGGTTCCTGGGTGGGTGGGGGATGGGGTAAGGGGACAACATATGAAATGTAAATAAAACATCCAATAAAAAAATTTAAAAAAATTATTGAAAAAAAAAGAAAAGAAAAAGTTCTCATGCAGAAAAAAAAATAAGTAATACATAGATAGATTTCCACAGATACATAACGTTTATCAGCAGTTGAGAGCGGAGGACCTGGGTCCAGTTGTTCCCAGCACGAACGTGGCTGGTCACAAGCATCCTTCCTCCAGTCCCAAGGGACCTAAAGCCCTTTCCTAGCCTATGTGGTCTCCAGGTGTGCACACAGTGCACATACATACGCGCAGGAAAAACACGCATACACAAGGCAGGTTCCGCACACATAGAAGGCGGAGGCAGGCAGATTTCCACTAGTTTGAGGCTATCCTGGTGTGCAGTGAGTTCCAGGCCAGCCAGGGCTACATAGTAAGACCTTGTCTCAAAACAACAACAACAACAACAACACCCATACTCTTAAAAGAGAAATAAATCTTCTAGAAATTAGAACATTTAAAAAACAAATAGGCAGACAGGAGCTAGACAGACAGACAGACAGACAGACAGATGAGAGATAGAAAGGTTTGTGTGCTAGCACTGAATATTGCCTGTTCAAACGGTGGGTCCACACAGAAAGCTGGACTGTGTGTTGGCCGTTGGGAGAGGGCCGTGCTGGAGTCAGGTGTCCCTGATGCAGCTTAAGCTTAAGGGGAAATGAAGTCTTAACCGGCACCGTGGGAAATCCCCGTGCTGTATGGTTTCTGGGGAAGGAGGCTGGGAGCAGGGAGCCAGGCTGGAGCTGGTTTGTGGTGTGTTGGGTCTCTCTGCACAATCTGATGCTTCCTCTGGTTGCTGGGGGGTTTCCTCTGTTTCGGGTTTTAGCCATTTGCCTGCAAAGAGCCTGGGGCTGTCAGCACAGAGTGCCAGCTTTTCATCTGTGATGCCTTCAGGTGTTTCTTCTGTTCCTCCTGTCCCACCTTCTGTCTACCTAACACAGAGTTCGTGTTGAGGCAGTTGTAGGTGCCATGAGTTCACTGGGCACCACCTCCCCCACCCCTAACCCCACCCCCATCTTTTTAGCTCTGGATTATTTGGGACAGTTTCTATCCAGGGAGCTTGTCTGTTTCAATGCTCACGTATGAGGTCCCTTCTCCAGATGAAGAGTGTGAGGAAGCAGGGCATGCTCACCCTGGGGGCAGGTGCCACCTGACCGCCCTCCTAACGTGACTTCCCTTTAACCCCAAGGTCTTTACAGAGATTAACAAGATTTAGTGTGGTCACTACGGTAGTCTTCCGATCCACAGAAGAGGAGATCAGGACACAGAGGGGCGGCCACACACAATCTCAGGGGCCTCGGAGGATCCAGTCCTGACTGTCCTGTAAGGAGGTGAACTGTCTGTTGATGAAGCAGCCTTGTCTGGGACCTCGGTGTGGCAGCCGGAACAGGCTACCTCCCACTCTGAGTGAGCAGGGGTGTGTGTCACACACTTAACCTAAGCGTGCCAACCAAGGTCAACCTGTCTTTGCCAGGTGAGTGACTGAGTCGATATTTCAATTATTCTTCTAAGTTTTCATTCCTTCGAGTATTAGTGAACACAAATTGATTTCAAACTTAACTGCCCGGAACCCATTTTCCTCCTCCGGAGTGTTTGTCTTTCGTTGGCTGGCTCGTGAAACTGATTTGCGTACCCTTTGTCATAAAAACATGGTAGGCAGGGTTCTTGCACGAGTCTTCTGGCTTTGTCCCTCTGTGTTACTCTATGGTCTATTGTATATCAAAGGGAAGATTAAAGGGTGGTCCAGCTCTTCAGGGAGCCCTTCAAGGGACAGAAGCCCGGCTGCTCCATGAGCCATGTTAGGTGGGAGCCATGTAGCGTGATGCTTCCTCTGGCTCTGTGGCTGTGGGGCCTCACAGCGGGCGAATGGCAGGGCAGGGACGGTGATGTGTGCCTACAGCACGCTCCGAGGACGGAAAGTGGGGGCTTTGGTTTCAATGTTGTGCCCTTCCCTCGGTGTTCTCTCTTGACTCGGAGGTAAGTAGGGAGAGGTTCTTGATATTGGTTGAATGCACTTCCTCCAGAAATACAATCGCTGGGAACCCAGTCCCTGGTGTGGCCGTGCAGTAAACGGGGATGAGGCACAGCAGATGGGCCATGCACAGGTCACAGGCCTCTGCCCTGGATGTGACGGATTAGTGCAGGGTGCCAGGGGCTTGAGATGGCAGTTGCCTGTCTCGGGTCCTCTCTCCTCTCTGCCCTTCAGCCATTGGATGGCGAATCACTAGACATATTCTGGTCCCTGCACGTTGGACACCTTCTTCTCCAGAATCACGTGACAGATGGTTGGTGGGCTGCTTACTTGGTGTGCATGAAGGCCCCGGGTTTGATTCCCCAGCGCTGTGTACTCCAGGTGTGGTGCGGCATGGGACATACAATACCAGCTTAGAGGAGATGGAAGGAGGACCATCAGATGCTCGACATCACCCCACATAGCAAGTCTGAACTACATGGCACACCGCCTCCAAAAATAAAAAAATATAATAATTAAAAATGAAACAGCCGGGCGTTGGTGGCGCACGCCTTTAATCCCAGCACTTGGGAGGCAGAGGCAGGCGGATTTCTGAGTTTGAGGCCAGCCTGGTCTACAGAGTGAGTTCCAGGACAGACAGGGCTACACAGAGAAACCCTGTCTCGAAAAACCAAAAAAATAAAAATAAAAATAAAAATAAAATAAAACAAAGCCCTGCTTATTACCAGTGTCACAGCAGATTCCGTTATAGGATATAACACCCACACGGAAAGGAAAGCCCAGAATTCTCACCTGCACTCCTCGGGGTTCAAAATACATCGTGCCAGAGCAGAGCACCTGTTTTGTTTCATTTACTTTTTTTTTTCTTTCTTTCTATGATACTGGTAACAGAGTTGAAAAAGAAAATTGGAAACATCAAGACACACAAAGACCGAGTGACCTCGGGCGCCAAGTGCGAGGGCTGCTGCTCTGCTGGGTGAGAGGGTGTGGCTTCAGCGGGGTTACTGCGCATGGCCCATCTCACGTGATCCCAGGTTTCCTGGGCTCCTCTCCGCTGTCCCTTAGTACCTTTGGCTGCTGCTGTCCCGTTTGGGGCACTGCCTGACCCAGCTCTTGTGCCCTGCAGCATGGTCCCTCCCATTCCCGAGTCCCACCCACCTGCTCCGCAACCTCTGGATGGGACCACCACGGTCCCTTCTCTACACATCCAGCTTGGAGTCTCTACACCTGACCCTGTTGGCTTCAGCCTTTGCTGCTCTACCCAATGAGCCACACTGCAGGGCCTTTCTTTCCAAAAAAAAAAAAAAGGTAGTCTCCCCTCCTGGACAAGTCATTGCTTTGCCAGTATCTTCAATGACACGCAAGTACTCAGGGGATAGGCCTGGCAGTGACGGCCCTGGGTCTCGGGGTTCACGGGGTGCCTTACACTTCTTTCGTTCCTCGTTGGCGGTTGTGCAGGTCTTGTTGTAGAGGGCGCGGGCGTTCTGCAGCTCCTCCTCCTTCCTTCTCCGCTCGCAGGCCGTCAGAGAGTGGCGGTCGTGGCTCTTCTCCAGCTGCATCTGCAGGCGGGCCAGGTGCTGCTGGACCCCGTAGAGGTTCACGCCCAGCTCCTGCCTCTGGGTTCGGGTTTGCTTGGTGGCCACATCCTGTATCAGAGAGGGAGACAGGGTCGAGGCAGGTCCATGGGTGCCCACCGGGCTGGGAGGAAGACAGGAGCCCGGACGCACCAGCTCTTGGATGTCCAGCCTCAGCTTGTCCATCTGCCGGTTGAGGTAGTTCTTCAGGGCCTCCTGGAATCTGATCATCAGGGGCTAAAGCAACAGAAAACCACAAGCAGTCAGGTCCTTTCAAGTCCAAGGCGGCAGGGCTCGGCTGAGTGGGCCAGTGCTTGCTGGCTCACACTCAGTCTCTGTCTCTGTCTCTGTCTCTGTCTCTGTCTCTGTCTCTCCTCTCCTCTCCTCTCCTCTCTCTTTTCCTCCCTCCCTCCCTCTCACTCTTGGCTCTTGCTCTTGCTCTGACCTCTGTCTCAGTCTGTCTGTTTCTGTGGGGGGGGGATTGGACAGACACAGATGATTTCCCATCCAAGACTCCCTTTTTTCTCCCCATTAATTAATTTATTTACTTTACATCCCAATTGCAGCCCCCCCTCTCCTCCTAGTTCCCCCCTCTCATGGGCCCTCCTCCCATCCCCCCTCACCTCTGAGAAAGGGGAGGTCCCCCCAAGGGTACCAACCCACCCTGGCACTTCAAGTCACTCTAAGACTAGACACATTCTCTCCCACTGAAGCCAGACAAGGCAACCCAGTTAGGGGAACAGCATCCACAGGCATGCCACAGAGCCGGGGTAAGCCCCTGCTCCAACTGTTGGGGGACCCTGCAGGCAACCAAGTGGAAGCCACAAATCCTGGGCCACCTCTTGGCCCACACCAGACAGTGCAGAGATTTGGCTGAAGGCTGTGGCTGCTGAGGGGTCAGCCTAGATTCACCAGGGACAGTCAGGGTGATGATAAGCAGCAGCCATTGTGCGCGTTAAGTGAGGGCCCAGGGGATTTTGACAGTATGCCCTGGGCTCCTTCTGAGCTCCCTGGAGCACTGCAGCTCTCCAAATGTGCTGCTAAAATCACGTAATCAAGTCTGCCTTTCTCCTGTGCTGTGGGTCTGGACTGAGGACCCTCAGTGTGGATGACAAGAGAGAGTGAGGCTATCCCCGCTTCCCTCAAGCATCCTGCATAGTTGGACACAGTTTTAGTTGTCGAGACAGAGGTCAGAGATTTGGTTCAATGTCCTATATGGCCCAGGTCCCTCTCAGAGGACTATCAGTCCTCAAAAAAACAAAACAAAGCAAAGCAAAACAAGCCAAAATAAAAAAACAAAAACCACACACACAGTAGAGTCAAGGTTGTTTTTGATTTTGCTTTGTCAATTTGACACATCTGGAGTCATCTGAGAAGAGGAAACCTTAACTGAGAAAGTGCCCCCATTAGACTGGCCTAGAGGCAAGACTGTGGGACAGTTTTTTAATTGAGGATTGATGGGGGCAGGGCAGGGCCCTCTGTGGGTGGCGCCAATCCTAGGCTAGTGGTCCTGGGCTCTTTTTTTTTTTTTTTCGTTTTTTTAAGACAGGGTTTCTCTGTGTAGCCCTGGCTGTCCTGGAACTCACTCTGTAGACCAGGCTGGCCTCGAACTCAGAAATCTGCCTGCCTCTGCCTCCCAAGTGCTGGGATTAAAGGCATGCGCCACCACTGCCCGGCAGGTTCTGGGCTCTTTAAGAAAGCAAACTGAGCAAGCCGGAGAGCAGCCCCCTCCATGGCCTCTGCATCCGCTCCTGCCTCCTGGTTCCTACCCTGAATTGTAACTATCAACAGAAATAAACTTTCCTCCCCAGGTCACGGTGCTTATCTCTCAGACAGAAAATAAACGGAGCCAGCCAGGAAACAGAGCAGGAGGTGTAGCCGATGGGAGCAGCGAGCCAAGGCAGCTAGCTAGCATCGGAAGGTTGGTCGGGGACAGAAAGAGCCCACGAGACCCACCCCCACCCCTGCATGGGGGTGAGAGCAGAACCCCAGGGAGTTTTCTTACGTGGTCTGGGTCCAGCACCATCAGTTGGGTGCCTTCCTCCTCTGCTTCGTCACTCCCTTCAGATGTTGCTCTCTCCAGCAGGGCCTCGGGGCTGAGGGTCTGGACCTGGTCTAGGAACTGTATCCGGGTTTCTTCATGGGCTCTGGGAGGTGTCTGCACTGCAGTGATCAGGGAGAGAGACAGGAAAAGTCACCAAGGCTTGGTTGTCATGGTCTGGGGGCCTGGGCATCAAGGCTAGTCCCTCTCTCACAGGGTATACCGGAAATGAGCAAGGAGAGAGACTTCCAGTGGCAGGTTCTCAGGCTTGCCCGTGGTATCAACCACTGCTGACTCAAGACATCCCACAGAACCAGCCAAATACTAGCAGTGAATGGGGGCTCAGGTGAAAGAAAGGGGGCTCTTTACTGTGGGGCTTTTGGGTTCTCTAAAAAATGAAGTTCAGGGGTTGGGAAGATGGCTCAGAGGTTTAAAATGCTTGTTGCTGCTCTCCTGAGGACAAAAGTTTGGCTCCCGGCACCCATGTCAGGCAGTTTTCACCAGTCTCTAACTCCAACTCAGAGGGATCTGATGCCCTCTTCTGGCCTCCTTGAGTACTGCACTCATAGAGCTATCACATGTATATGCACACAAGTTTTTTTAAAAAAAAAGTTAAAAAGATTGAAGAAGAGATTAGAAATCAAGTCACAGAGTCCCTTGTCTTCTGTATGTGGTTACTTATCTATTTGGACCTGGAGTCTCCCCATGTAGCCCTGGTTGGCCCAGAACTCACTGTGGAGACCAGGCTAGCTTTGAACTTACAGAGATCCCCTGCCTCCCAAGCACTGTTGGGACTAAAGGCATGTGCTATCACACTGGTTGCTGAGCAGACCGGCTGTATCTATTGTACTCGGCTGCTTGAGCTGTAATTGGAACACAGGTACTCAACAGATCAGCACTGAATAGATAAGACAAATAAAACACACAGTCAGGGCCTGGCATGGTCCTGACCTATAATCCTAGCACTTAGGAATTCAAGACCAGTCTTAAGACACATAAGGGGTTTGAGGCCATCCTGGGCTCTGAGAGCCTGTTTTGACTTTTATTCATTGGTTACTTTTTATCCTGCGTATGGGTCTGTGAACATGCGGGCAGTGCCCACAGATACCAGGAGGAGTTGGATCCCCTGGAGCTTGAATTACAGGTGGTTGTAAGCTGCCTGGTGTGGATGCTGGGAATTGAACTCGGGTCCTCTGGAAGAGCAGTGTGTGCTTTCAGCTGCTGGGTCATCTCTCCTGCCCCATTACCCTGTTTCAAACAAGACAAACCATACAGGTGAACGGCAGGTAAAGCTATGAGGTGTGTGATGTGCAGGGCAGGAGTTGGTTCAGCGAACCAAATCTTCAGGATGCCTCCCTGGAGAGGAAGAAGAGCATCCTCCGGGGCCAGCCGGCAGATAGCTGCCTCACTTAGAAAACTAACCAACATGCCTGGTAGGCATTTGCCATTCTGTGAGCTCACCTGCACCATCAGGAACTGCAGCCCTGGTGTGTGTGGGACAGACCTCCAGGGGTCAGACCTCCAGGGGTCAGATCTCCAGGGGTCAGACCTCCAGGGGACAGTCCTCCAAGGGCTGCCCACTTCATGTACCAATTCCATAGGCAGGATGATGGTGACGGTGGTTCCGACTTGCAGTGTCTGCAATGTCTTGTTTCCTCTGTACCCCTGACTCACCTTGCTCTGAGGGCCTAGGTTTCTCTGGGGATTAATGGCTCAAGGGTTCTCCTGCTTCAGGTCTCACATTGCTGGGACTCTGGTGTGAAGCGTTGTGTCCATTTCTGTGGTCCAGGGCCTTGTGTGTGGCAAGTAAGTCCCACCAGTGAGCTCTATCCAGAACCACTGTCTTATTTCTTACTAGGCTAGATGGATCCCTGTTTTCTTTTTCTGTTACTTTTTAAAAGATTTATTTATTTATTTCATGTGTAGGAGTACACTGTTGCTCTGTTCAGACACACCAGAAGAGGGCATCGGATCCCATTACAGATGGTTGCGAGCCACTATGTGGTTGCTGGGAACTGAACTCAGGACCCCTGGAAGTGCAGTCAGTGCTCTTAACCGCTGAGCCATCTCTTCAGCCCCGGACCCTGTTTTTCATATCACTTATAAATAACGTGTGGCTTTGTGAGCTGAAGCACGCAGGCAGAAGCATCGTTACCTGACTCTGGCTGAGGAGTTTCCTCGGGTTCCAGGGGAAGATCGTCAATGTCTGAGGGAGTCAGACTTCCCATAATGCTCAGTCTGAAGCGGTGTCGCGCCCCCATAGGAAAGACTCTTTGAAAGGGAGGTTCTGAGGGTATCACCTACAGAAAAAAATATATCAGGAACACATTGATAAAGAGACTGCTAATAGTTTGGATACGGGTTTAATCATGTGCCCTCCTGACGACCCTCCACTCTGATGCCCGGATGCCGGAGGTTGGAAAGGGCAGCCTGAACACACTCCTCATAAGGGCTAGCCTTTGCTCTCTGCGCTTCCAGCAAGGGCCTCGTGGGGGACCACTTTCTCTTCTCTCATCTAAACACCTTCCCTTGATATAGTTGTCTGGCTGTTTTTTCCTACTTGAGACTAAGTCTCTTATGTAGCCCAGGGTGGCCTGGTTACTTTACAACCCTTATGTCTCCTTAGCGATGGAGTTAGAAACCCGTGATTTTACCCCTCAGCTTTATTTTTTTAGCATTTGAAGGGATTCTTGCAGTTACTGAGCTGGGCCATCAGTACTCAGCAGCAGCTGAGGTAAATGCTGGCCCAGGAGCTGGTGAGACCGGGCTTCACCACCCTGTTTATGAAGAAGAAAGCATGAATATCATCTCTGCCTGTGAGCCCCATGTTGAATGATGTAGGGAAGGGAAAACAAACACACAGAAGCTAAAAAAGTTCACCTAAGTGTGAGCATCACCTAAAGGCAGGCTCACAAGACCCTGCCACAAAGGTGTATACAAAGTAGAGGAAGAGGAGAAGGAAGAAGAGGAGGAGGAGGAAGAGGGAGGGGAAGAAGAAGAGGAGGAAGAGGGAGAGGAGGAGGAGGAGCAGGAAGAGGAGGAGGAGGAACGAGAAGGAGGAGGAGGAAGAGCAGGAAGAGGAAGAGAAGGAGGAGGAAGAAGAGAAAGAGGAAGAGGAGGAGGAGGAATATCTGTGGAGAGTTGACTCTGGGAAGGATGACCTGCCTACAGGTTCTATAGGAAGCCCCAGGGATGCTGAACTGGGCTTTTCTGGGGACACAGCTGCCTTTGAATCATTCACGCTCCTGTAAGTGACCCCAGTAAGCTCATTGGTTTTCCAAACTGGACTTCAGTAGAATCACTACTTCAGCCTGCTGTTGGCTCACTGTCAGGGGCCAGGAGACTTTTGTCGGTGTCTCCCCAGGAAAAGGTCACTCGATGCTTTGTAGGAAACAAAAAGTATTATTAGGTGACAAAACAGATTCAGAACTTACCTCTGGCACCTAAGAAAACAAAATATGCTACCGCGCTTCGGTTTTTATTCCCCCTGTAAGTTTGTGACCTGCTTTAAGTTTTGGTGCCGGGTTAGCAAGTTCAAGGCCCTAGGTTCAATCCCCAAAACAAACAAACAAACAAACAAACAAACAAACAAAGTAAAGTGGTTGGATTTGTTTTGTTTGAAATAAGGTCTCTTTAAGAAGCCCAGGCTGGCTTAGAATGCAAGATCCCCCTGCTTCAGCCTTCCTTCTGGGTGGGTGCAGGGATGACAGGAGGGTGCCACCATGGCCAGCTAATTTGAATTTTGAGAAATACGAATTTTAGTCTGTCCCCTTTTCTTACTCGTACTTTCAGTGCTCATAAATGAACTCATGCCCTGACCCCCTCCCACTCTGCAACTTTTTGGGTCCACACTGCTTTGGAAGACTGGAGACCTGGGTGCAGTCACATGCATGGATAGTGGCTACAGTCCGTGGCAACCTGGATCTGAGATGCAAGCTGTCAAGGCAGCTAAGGGATTCCCAACATTGGCCAGCTTGGGAGAATGTGCTCCCGTCAGATTGGCCTGTGACCGAGTACAGTGGGGGAGGGGGAGCATTCTGAGTCCTCGATCAGTGTGGGAGGGCTTAGCAAACCATTTATGGCACTAGCCCTGGGCAGGTGGTCTTAGGGTCTCTAAGAAAGCAACGTGGGGTAAACCAAGAGCACGCTAGAAGCAGGGCTCCCCCACTTCCCTTCACAGCAGACTATGGTCAGGATGTGTGAGCCAAATAAACTCTGTCCAGATAAGCTGGACACATCTCCGTAAGCTCCTCTCACGGGGTGACAAACCGCAATGTGCCGGAAGAGGCTTGTACAAACACTCACCGTGCCGTACTCTGTGGGCTCTGTGGGCTCTGTGGGCTCCGTGGGTGCCATGGGCTCTGTGGGCTCGTACATGCCTTGCTGGGATGCGTCGGTTATTGTTGGTGAGATGTTCCCTTCCTCTACACCCATTTCCCAGGGGCTGACATCAGAGTACGAGTACTCGGGAGAGCTGATTATCTCAGAGAGTTCATCCAAGTCATAGAAATGGCCTTCTGCTTTCTCTTGGTCAGAAACTTCAGATTCTCCTTCTGGAACAGCTCTTTCCGTGAATCCGACTTCCTTTTGGGGTCTGACCTTTCCAGCGTGTTTAGCTGTTTTTTGCGGTACGGCACTTCCAATGGACTCCAAGTCCACTCCTAGGATGGGCTTTCCAATGGAATCCACGTCTGTTTCTGAGGTCTCTTCTCCAATGGATTCAACTTCTAGTTCTGTCATGGTCTTTCTAACAGGCTCCACATCCGTACCCGGGGCAGCCTCTTCAATGGATTCAACTTCTATTTCTGCTATGGTCTCGCCAGTAGATTCCACCTCTATTTCTGGTATGGTATCGCCAGTGGGTTCCACGTCTGTTACTGGGGAAGTTTCTCCAGCGGATTCCGCCTCTCTTTCTACTATGGTATCTCCAGTGGGTTCCATGTCTGCTCCGGGGGAAGTTTCTTCAATGGATTCCACGTCTGTTTCTGGAGCAGCCTCTCCAATGAATTCCACTGCTGTTTCTGGGGGACCCTCTCCAATGGACCCCACTTCTCCTTCAGAGACAGTTTCCCCGTCAGTGCTGACTTTCTCAGCTTCCAGCATTTCTCCTTCAAGTCCGTCTCCGCCTTCAGTTGTAGTGTCTTCCTCAGGACTTTTGGTGGCATCTCTACCCTCATCAATATCTTGGCCATTGTTTTCCGGTGGCGGTGGTGATGCCTGTTACAGGTTGTAAAGAAATCCCAGGGAAGAAAACACAATCTTGAGAGATGTTAGGGTGACAGGAAGAACATCCGCACGCATCTCACCTACACCCAAGAGATGATGTTTTGTGTCTGATGTAACTGCTGCCTGGTTCCTACAGTCATGTATCACAAGCATGAACTCTGGAAAATGCAAGGCAGTCTAAAGGCCCTACCTGTTATTACCGAAAGCTAACACTTTGGAATGAGCTAGACACAGCCTATTATCAGCTGAGAAGGGAGTCTCAAGTGAGGGACTGACCAGAGAAGACTGGCCAGTCTGTGTGTGGGGGGTGGGGTGGGGGGGGTTGTCTTGATTACTCATTGGCCCGGTACACTGCAGGTAACACCATTCATAAGTGGTCATGGGCTGTATACAAAAGCTAGCTAAGCGCAAGCTGTGAATGAGCCGGTGTGTGCCCCATGGTTCCTGCCGTACTTCCTTGGCTGTGAGCGAGTTCTCTGGCTAGAGGCAATATATGTGGGCTGGCAAGCAGGCTTGCCTTCAGGGTCCTGCCTTGCCTTTCCTCAGCAATGAACTATGACTTGGAAGTGTAAGCCATATAAATCCTTTACTCTTCTAAGTTGCTTTTGGTCAGACTATTTTACCAATGCCAGTAGAACACAGCAGGAAGGAAACCAGTCTCTCCGTGCCTGAACTGAGATCGTTCCAGAGCACACGAGCACGGCGCCGCTATGGTCCCTCGCCATCCTATTGGTCTCCTACCAAATAGGAGTCCAGATGGACGTTACCTCACGACCTTCAGAGTACTGCTGCTCTGTCTCCTCGTCGGCAGAATCCTGCTCGCCATCCAGGTGTGACCTGCTTTTAGAGAGAGGGGACACTGGCTCACAGCCGATCTCGCATGCTGCATACCAGCCGCTCACTGGTAAGCCCTCCACCTCTCCTCCACTCTGCTGACAGCCAAGACTCTTCCACCGCTAGGCCGTGCTTGTCACGGGCCACAAATTTGGAATGGGAACGGACATAAAGCAGAATTATAACAAGAAAGGAACAGCCTGTGAGAATATCCCAGAAAAGTCTGTTTCTGGGGCAAAGCAGGGAAAGCGTCAGGAGAGAGGACAGCACGCCAGACTCTCCGTCTCTGCTTCCCAACATGGCCAAGGTTTGCGTGTAAAATATTTTGGCTTTTCAAAAACTTAACTAGGAACTGGAGTCTGGACCCCAGCACTCACATAAAAGCCAGACACAGTTTCTCATGCCTGTAAGTCCAGCATTGTGAGGGTCTGAGGCAGGAGGATCACTGGGGCTTGCTGCCCGCCAGTCAAGCTCCAGGTTCAGTAAGAGGTCCTGCTTCAAGGGGCTAAGGTGGAGATGGATAAAGCAGGACACTTGACATCCTCCTCTGGCTTTTGCACACGTGTACACACACACACACCACTTCTACAAACATGCCACATGCAATATTTAATATATAAGCTAAGCTAGTTTTTAAAAATCAAATTAATACAGATCTCCGCTTCACAGACAATGGAAGCACCTGCTATTTCCCCTCTGCTGCTCACAGCACCACTGGAAGAGGCATTTGTGTGCACCTGCCTTTGTTCAGAATCTGCATTTCAAGTCTTCCCCAAGTTGGAGCGCATTCTATAACTATTGCTTCACAGTTAGCCTTCTCGTGTGATAAAATCTCGATGTGTTTCCCTGGGCGTCCATAGAGACTTAACCTTTATATGAAACAACCCAGAAAGGTCTGAGCGAATAGAACTGTTTAAACTTGCTTTTGTTTTGCACAAAACCTAAAACAGAGCTGGCAGCAGCATTTTTGGGGTCACTCAGTGCTGGGGATCTGTCTAACTCTCAAGTCCACGACAGGGGGATCTATTCTTGCAGCGGGAGGCTCGGACCTAGCCCAATCTCAACTCCTTTCTTCCCACGCTTGTAACACTGGACAGCTTCTTATCCGTCCAAGTCCTGCTTTGCAGCCTGGTTTACCAAGCATGGTGGTTGCCATGGTTACCGCAGGGCGTGCAAGTCTGTAGTCCAGGAGAAGCAGGGGCTAGGAGTAGGGAATAAGGGGGGGGGGGGCCAGGAAAGGACAAAGGACAGGAGGTGGAAGAGATAAGGGACGGGGGGGGGGGTGGGCTGGGTGGGGTAGGAAAGGCCCGGAAAGTGGGGGAGAGTGGCAAGGGGCACAGAAGTGAAGTAGGAGGCGCGCCGGGTGGGGGGTACCTGTGTGTAGAAAGCTAGGGAAAACATCTGGTGGGTTTATTATCCCTCCCGCGGGGCTTACCCGTCAGCCTGGTCCTCCGGCTCCGCCATCTCTCGTTGCTAGGCGACGCCATCAACATCCGGCGAAGTCCGGACCGCGCGCTCAAAGACCGCAGGAGGCGGGGCCTGGCTGCGTCCAGCGGTTCTCACAGAAACACTAAGCAAACACATTGATGCACAAATGTGTATTTTATCTGTCCGTCGCCATGTGTCAGAGCCTTTCCTGCACGGACTTAGTTCCCGTAGAGTGACGATAGTGCTAATGTACACCTCCTTCGACCTGAAGATGTTCAGGGACTCCTAGAGTGGCAGGCAGGGTGGGGATGCTGGGTCCGGGAAACGCGCCTGGCTCAGGCTCTCCCACATCCAGCTTTGGGTTCCTCAGGAACCCTGACCACGGGGTCTTTCGAGGAGTCGTTGGCAGAGAAGAGGGGCCCAGTAAATTTTGGTGAGCATCATTCCTTCGTACCCCCAAATTTGAGAAATAGAAACGCAGGGGGTGAGCGCATACTGGACACTAGGAGCTCTGCCTCCCGGACCGAGGGCGCAGGGCTCCCATGCAGGGCAGGGTCCCAGGTACCAGGCGCGTGGCAGGACCTGCAGAGGGGGTCAGCAGAGAGCCCGGAGCACGGGTCGACGGATACGCGAGACCCCAGGTTGGAGGCTGGGCGCGGCGTTCCCGGCTGCGTGGGGCTGGGTCCCGGGGCGGAGCGAGGCGATCGGGGGCGGAGCGGAGGCGGAGCGAGGCCGGCCTCTCCACATCCCCTCCCCGCCGCGCCTCGCTAGCGGCGGCGGCAGCGGCGGCAGTGGCGGCGGCGGTGGTGGTGGCTCCTGGAGCCGGCGCGTGTCCAGCTCTCGCGGCGGGACCCGGGTGGGTATCAGGGTGCGTCTGGGACCGCGGGCCGGGGGTTTTGGGGTCCACTCAGGACGACGTGGCTGTTCCTGGGCACGCTGGAATCTGCACGCACGGGACGCGGGCCTGCTGCGCGGGGGCCCGGGAGGGGCTCGGGGGACCCGCGCTGGGCTCAGGGCGGGGGCGATGCGGGGGAACCCGGATCTCGCCGGGGACGCTGTGGGGACTCCATCCTCGAGTGAGACTCCCTGCTCTGGGAGTGGGCCCACTCGAGGAGACTCGATCCTCGCCTGTCTAGAGCTGTGGGCCGGGGCACTTGCGGTCTTTGTCTTGCTGGCTGGTCTGAGCATGCGAAGAACTTGTGGGGTTCCCCGCACTGGCTGACAGAGCCCCCAAGGTGTGCCATGCCCTCCTGGGGCGTGCGCAGTCTTAGCGTTGGGGCACAAGGGGAAATGGTCAGGGCTATTTAAGGGCTCCTTGTCAGGGTCCTCGCTTCTTTTTAGCCTGCTCCTGTCTCTCTCTCTCTCTCTCTCTCTCTCTCTCTCTCTCCTTCTCTGTTCCTTCTCTCAAAAGAAAGAAAAAAACAGGATAGTATAAAAAGAAAAAAAAGGGCAATTTAAGATTGCTAAAAATAACCCACGGAACCCTGCCAGAACGCGCGGTGAGAAGAGCCTGCTCCTCCGAAGTCGGTGTCACGTGTTGGCCACAATCTAGTCCAGGTTCCGTTTAGAAATAGGGGAATAGAAAAGCGGCTCTTGCATCCGTTAAAGTTTGTTCCATGGCCTCTGTCAACTTCCTTTATCAGGAGAGAGAGAGAGGAAATGTCCCGACGCCAAGCATATTGGTCAGTCAGAGCATGGGTACAAAGACCCGGGGTCTAGGGGTTCCACTCTAAATCTTTATAACTGATTAGAGAATTTAAAAGGAACTCTATGCAAGTCTTAGCTCTTGGTAGAAAGGTTGACATTAACCTTGATAGCGAATATTCCACTTAATGGTGCGGGAACTTTGGGCACAGGGACAGCCCGTTGGGAATTTACCTGAGTTGGTTCTCGGCTGGGGATGGATCTCTTGGCTGAGTAGTACTTACGGTGTTTGTTTGTTCGCTTTGTTTTTCCCCTATAGCTTCCTGCTGAATGGGGTGTCTTCAGTATTGCCCAGAAACTCTTCCCTGGGAACGGTTGACTCTCCTGGCAGTCATGGTGTACAAACAGGCCGCAGCAAAAAAGGGCTGCGGTTTTTAAGTTTTCAAAAACACAATTTTTATTATGACTCTTTATTGTGTGGGTGTATGTGTGCCCACGTGTGCCTCGGTGGTGCCTTTGTGGAGCTCAGAGGATGGCTTGTGGGGGTCAGTTTCTGTCTTTCCACCACTTGAGTCTTGAGAGCAATCAAACACAAGCCGTCAGGCTTGGTGGCAGTCACCTTTATCCATAGAACTATTTCACTGACATTAGATGATGTCACACGATGACATGTGACCCAGCATGGACCTGGATGGCCTGCTCTTCACGGGGGTTTGTTAATGGAGGGGAGCTGGGAGCACCGTGCTCAACAACCTCAGCAGCTAGGATCAGCTCACTGTGCTCCCCGAAGGAGCACTCTTTGCTTTGGGGCCTTCCCCTTTAAGAGCATGGCCTTTGGGTGGACAGAACTCCCTGCTACTTCCCTGGCCTCTCTTTGCCCCTATTTTGAGTGACAAGCTGCAGAGATAAAATCATCTTCCCTGGGCATGTCGGCTCAGGACTGAAATTCTAGTGCTTGAGAGGGTGAGGCAGGGGAATTTCTGTGAGTTTAAGGCCAGCTTGAGTTATAGAGTAAGCTTCCAGACGTCCTGGGGGTACAAAGATTCTTTCTCAACCAAATCAAACCAAACCAAAAATAAAACCACCACCACCAACAAAAAAACTCCCACAACACAAAACACCCCCCCCAAAAAAAAACCCCAAATCCTGTATGGTCTCCCAAAATAGACAGTAGACAGCAGTCACTGGCTCTTGTTTGACTCCTTGTTCCATGGTTCCTTTTCAGAACCTCGCCTGGCCCAAGTGCCTGGCAGACAGCAAGTAACTTTTTGTTGAGACTTAGTCTCTCTCTCCCCACCTCTCTCTTCTGCAGCCTAGGCTGGTCTAGAACTCATGGTAATCCCCCTGCCTCAGCATCTTAAGTGCTTCCATTCCTATTTGTTGACTTTTAATTTGTCATCCTTAGGATGATTGAATCTGCCATTTAGACTTTTCACGTTTAACTGCACGAGTTAAAAACCCTGTTTTTCTTTTTCTTTTCTTTCTTTCTTTTTCTTTTTTTCTTTTCACAATGTTTTTATTATTTGAGAATCCCATGCACCTATACTCCTCTGACATACCCTGTATCCCTCTCTCCAACACCTCTCCTTCCGGTTCTTTTCTCTTTTTTTTGCTGATCCCCTGAATCTAACTAGTGCTACCCACGTGTGTGTGCATATGTGTGGGACCACCCAGTGCAGCATGGGAAACTTACAAATGTTCTTTTTCAGCAGCTGCCAGCTGCCAGCTCCTCAGTAGGGGTGGGGCTTGGGGACGGCCTCCCCTGCCTATGCTGGAAGGCAGACTGGTTTGCTCTTGTGCAGGCATTACACAAGTAGCCACAGCTGTGTCTGCAAGCTTGTGGGTTCGTCACCCGTGCCCTGTCCGGATGTCATCAGTTCACAGTGATCCTCCCCATCCTTCGGCTCTTATGTTCTTTCTGCCTCCTCCCTGCGGTGCTCCCTGAGCTTGGTGTAGGGTTGGGGGTGGTAAGGACTTAGGGCTGAGCACTCAGTCTCTTTATTGAACTTTCCTGATGAGACTGCTGCCCGTCGGAGCTTCTGTGACCAAGGCCGAGAGCCAGCAGCCCGGGTCCTGGGTCAGGGCTCTGCCAACCCCACAGAGGTTTTCAGTTTTGATTCCTCGTGTGTATGGTTTTATTGGGTGGAAAGTTGATCTGAATCGGTATTTGGACTATTTACTCTTGTTTGCTTTTTCGATACCAGAGACTGAATGTGGGCATGGCCTCACACTTGCTGGGCAGGTGCTCTGCCTCTGAGCCCGTGGGTTTGTGAAGGCTTTCTTTTGGTTCACTGTGAAGCTGTGGCAGGCATTACAGTTGCGATCTTCCTGCCTCGGCCCTCTGGGTAGCAGAGGTTACAGCCCACAAGACGCTGCTACACTTCAGTCTTTGTAACTTGGTGGAGGCTGGACTCCCTCAGACTGTTCTGGGGAGCAGGCTTGGTCAGGTTACCTGGCAACACAAATCTCCTCTAAGATTCTAGCTTATCCCTCCCTGTGACTGAGAATTTTAAATTTTATTTTATTTATTTTTTATTCTTTCATGGGTTGGATTTTGCTCTTGTAAAATTGACTATGCAGATTGATGCCAGCTTCAGGTACAGGGCAGGGGAGCCGCTAACCATGAGTGTTGGTAGCAGGAGAAGCTGATGGCAGGGGAGCCGCTAACCATGAGTGTTGGTAGCAGAAGCTGATGGCAGGAGAGCTGCAAACCATGAGTGTTGGTAGCAGGAGAAGCTGATGGCAGGGGAGCTGCTAACCATGAGTGTTGGTAGCAGGAGAAGCTGATGGCAGGGGAGCTGCTAACCATGAGTGTTGGTAGCAGAAGAAGCTGATGGCACGGGAGCTGCTAACCATGAGTGTTGGTAGCAGAAGAAGCTGATGGCAGGGGAGCTGCTAACCATGAGTGTTGGTAGCAGGAGAAGCTGAT